TCTACAGTATTATTTATTGTAAAATAACAAAAAACAACAATAACATTTATTGTTGATGATGGAACATCATCAGGAGAACACATTCTCTGAGCCTAAGAATTGGCAATCTAATTAAGGCACGTTCAGAAAATCTCATGCTCACCTCAGACCTTTATAATAATGATACTGTATACAAACTAAAACACTGTTCAAAGGACATCAACCATACATTTCAGACTGAAAGTATGACAGGTAAGATTAGATGAGACACATTCAGCAGACCACCAGAGCCAAATTTTGAAACAGAGGACTACCAACATCATGTTTGCAGGAAAGCAGATACACAGTCCTATTTCACTTGCAGGCACAAACTAGCAGATGGTTTGCAAAACCAGGAAAGTGAACTTGAAGCACCCACTCTGTCTTTTACAACTTCACAAGCATGAGTTTTGCATGGAAAAATTACATGTCTACATCATTAGCAGATGCAGGTCCTAACTCTACCACTTTGATTATTTCCTTTTAACTGCCTTGTTTCTGATGCCTTTTAAAAAGGAGCACAACTGTTTCTCACTATTTATTCAAGATCTTGAAGAAAAATTATTCCTGGTGGGCCTTGAGCTCCCCCCATTGACTTCTCACTAGCTGCCAACATTCAGGCCTCATTCCAACACTGCCACTGTCCAGACAAGCTTTTCTGGGTGGGATGTTGAATTTTAACAACAACGAAGATGTGATTGCCCTCTGCTGTGTGTATGCTCGCTGTATTTTAGTTGTACCACTGCTAACACAAGTTATTGCTCTGCCTGGCCCTTCCTGGAGAGTGCTGCTACTCAGCTGAAGAGCTTATTTTCATTTTTCTTTCAATTTCTCCCTAAACTCTTCCCCCTTGCTCCCTGGCCAAAGTCTTGTGTGATCTGACACACTCTACTCATCTCAGCCTGGAGCCCAGGGTTATTACACACTCTGGATTATGTTCACCATCAGCACTTCAATGAGCTGACTTAATGTACTCAATGGTGCCAGAATTTCTGAATGTGCCAGAAGACTTTAGATATCATTTGCCATGAACACTAATCCATCAAGTCTGAGCTTCAGGCCATCCACATGTCACCCAAAAGGCTGGCAAACAAATCAGGTTGTCAAGAGCTTCCAGCATGGCTCAGGCTCCACTGACTCTCCATTGTTGGTGTTGACAAAGGGCGTAGCCATGCTCGTGGCTAAAGACTTTGGCTGTCTCCTGGCTTATGACCAATTTCTACAATAATCCAATGACAGACACTATTATGTTTTTCTGAATAAATAACTAGCATGTGTTTTCTTTCTTATACCCATGAAATACTTATGGCTTTGGGGAGATCTGGAGCTCCTTCCCCAAAACAGGAAATGCAGTTCTAAAATGCAGCACCCTTATTTGTCTCCTGATGCAGATAGGTGAAGTTCCCAGAAGACCAGTGAAGGCACTGGAATAATGTGGGAAAGACTGAGGCCACAGTTTAGGCTTTTTGTCACCTTCTTGGTCTTTAAGGTACATTTTCTACACTTTCTTATCTGTGTTATGCATTCTGGATATATAAAAGAGGGAGGGAGCAACCTTAGAGGATACCATTTCATAGACAGATCCTCAATAGAATATAAAGATGGAGGAGATAGGTCATGCTCTTTCTTTTCCTGTCCTGTGACATGAGGCTGTGTCAGGGAATAAAGGGATATGGCTGGAGGGAACTCTCTGATTATTCTTTGCTGTTAAATTGACTGCCTTCAGCAGCATCAAGGCTCATGGCTATCTGACTGCACACAAGGAATGGGAGCAAGCCCAGGTGACAAATTAATTTGGTTTTAGACGAAAGAATGGCTAAAGATTTTCACAGTTATGCTTAACATACTTCCCTGGTTCTGTTCTACAAGCCATTTGCTCTTTCCTCCAAATATCTTCTTGCAAACAACTTAATTTAGAAATGCTTCCAGCACCTGTTGTCTGCATGGACTTGTCTTTTGGAGCATTTCTTTTATGTCAAAGATTGTCTTACTCATGTTTTTCAGAATGGTGTGTAGCTTTTCTCTTTCAAATATGAGATCAGACTTTTATAATGCCAAGAGCCCTCTAGTCCTGTGCAAGAGCTGAGTAAACTATGCATATTCTATTCTATTCTATTTTATTCTATTCTATTCTATTCTATCCATAAACCTCCCCTACCAGTTTCTACCTCAATGCCTTCCCATAGCACACAATGCTACATTATTAAGAATTATTTTATGTGGTTGGTTTAATCCTCAGACTAAGCTGAATAATGCCTAGGAGAGAACTGTCATAATGAGACAGTTTATATTATAGAAAGCAAGCGAGGGCCTTTCATGTGGAAGGTGGGGAAGCTCATCATCATCCTGTAAGCACTTTGTACAGCTGCTGACTGGCCTGCAGGGAGCCACAGTTCAAGCAAGCATGTTTAAACCTTTATTAAACAAGTCTTTTGCATTCCTATCCTTAAAACAGTTTCCAGGTCCTTTCCACAGGTCACTTGCCCCTTCTTCAAAATCTCTTCTTGCATACCACTTCATTTCTGAATGTTATATTCTGCTGTTCCAAATATTTTGACATAATCTCTTAGTGAGTGGAATGGTTGCCCAAAAAGCTGTAGAACTTCTTACATCTCTCCCCAGCACACCTGAAGAGTAAGATCCTGAGAGCTGAGTATGATCTGATATTCTGTAGGAGAAAAAAACCTCAGAGCAGAAAACAGATTCAGGGCATCATCTGTTAATGATAATCAGAGCCATTATTGGGGTACAGAGACAGGACACTAATGTGGCAGTCCATTCATGTCTAGAACTGAGCAATAATTTCTTTCTTTTTCTCCAGAGTTCAATCCTTTCCTTTTCTGTCAATCACCTACAGTGCCTGGAAACAAAGCTAAGCAAAAAACTGCCATCAGAGTGCTTCCAGACTACCCCTTTGTTTTGCAAGTCAACATTGTCTCCCTCCTCCATTCTCCACAGAATCATATAATTACAAAATGGTTTAGACACTATTGGAAGACACCTTTAAAGACCACACAAATGGAAGACACCTTTAAAGACCACCTACTACAACCCCCTGCAATGAGCAGGGACATGTTTAAGTAGGTCAGGTTGATCAGAGATCCATCCAACCTGGACTGGAATGTCTTCAGAGATGGGGCATCTACCACTTCTCTGGGCAACCTGGCCCAAGGCTTCATCACCCTCAATGTAAATAAATTCTTCCTTGTATCTAATCTGAATCTACCGTCCTTCAGTTTAAAACCATTACCCCATTCTTGCTCTAAGGCAACAGTGGTAATAACAACCAACAGCAGAGTGCACAGAGCAGAAAATAAACCCTCAAGTGACTTAATTTGCCTTGGACATTTATTCCTCATGGGACTTGGCACACTGCCATCAGTGCTGAGCATGCCAACAGAAAAAGATCTTTTGGATATTTATTCCTTTCTCAGACCCTTCTAGAACTGATGGATGTTTATATTGAAGGAAACAGACCAAGTTTAATATGAAAACCTCCCAACCTTCAGACAGTGGCACAAACCTTTGAGCTTAGGATATTAATTCTTGTACCAATAATAAAGGCAGCACTGTTTCTCACAAGGTAAAACAAGTCTGAGAAGGAGAGAGAACAATTAGCCAAAGCTAGGAACCAAACAAGCAGTTTTGTTTGGATTATGAACAAAGCACAGTGGGTAGTTCTGGCCCATGCATGTTATGTCAAACCTCAGTTGCTGCAGGTACTGTATCCATTTCCTATACACTGATACTGAAAATAAAAGGCTGCAAAACTTAGATTTGTTTTTCTCTGTGGGGAGTGTAGAAAGTCCTAGTCTAGAACTCCTTCATTGCCAACATTCAAATAAATGCAATATACATATTTTTCAAGCTCACTGGACAGTGAATATCGTAGGTACATGTGATTGAAAAAGGAATTAAGCAAGTTAATTCAGTTGTCTCCCACCAGGCCCATTTTCATCACTGGTGGCATTACAGCTATGATATGTGGCTATTTTTAGCATTAGTAAATAGCAGTAGGACTGGTCTGTGGCAGGTGTGGGAGGAGCAATGGACTTCATTACCTACGTTGTTAAAAACTCCTTATTGAATCTTATGAAATCACTCCGTGCTTTCCTCACCTACAGAAAATAACTCCCATCACTCAGAAGCTCGCAGGGTTTGATTTAGCGAAGTTCTGAGACGTTAAACCAGGACAGCCGCCTAGAATGGCTCACAGAAGCTGCTGCAACGGGCACACATTCGGGGACATGACCGAGCTCCGGGGCCTCGGCTCGCCACCGGCACTGCCCCAAGCCCAGGCAGGGCCCCTCGTGTCTGTGCCCTCACACGGGCTCTTGCCATGCCTCTGACAACGGCCCTGGCAACTACCAGGCTTCGTGCGCATTGAGCGGTCCCATCTCATCGCAGATGTACGCAATAAGCAGTACCAGACGCCTCAGCATGCCCTTCCTTTAGACCTGCAATGTGTAAGAAAATGAAACTTTTTCTGCTCTCTTGGCTAATAATCCATTTTATTATAGGAGACGCTCCATTCGTACCCGTGTGCAGGAGAACCAAGGGGCAGGTGGAGGCACACGGGGGAAGCAGCTTTTCCCCACACTTCGCTCTAACTTAAAGGGCACCGAGGCAGGTCGAACCCGGGCCTTAGGCCGACCGCTCCAGGCCGGGCGATCCGTGAGGGGGCAAAGGACAACCCCGACACCGCCCCTCGCTCCGCCCGCCCTGTCCAGCACTAACCGCCCTGCCAGCCTCGGCCGGGCGGGCGCAGAGGCACCGGCACCGGCACCGGCACCGCCCCGCGCCCCGCCCGACACCGGCACCGCCCCGCCCCGCGCCCCGCCCGGCACCGCCCGCCTGCCGGCCGCTCATGCGCGCTCGCACCGGCCTCCTGTTGGCTCACTTCACGCCCCCTCGCAGAGGGGAGAGAGCCTTAAACAACGCAAGTTTGTCCTTCTCTTTGGGCAGATACTGACACTTTCGCCTCTGGTATAAAAGACGTTTTTATTATTTTACAACGATTCATAGTGCTTGTGGCTGAAATGCAGGGTGGAGAGCCCTCCTTGGCGTTTTGTCCCCCCCTCGCTCCCTCCGAATAGGTCGGCCCGGCTTTCCTGCCGCCGGCTACGGAAGGGGCGGGCATGGCCGAGGGTCAGCGCGGCCGCCGCGGCGAAGGCGATCTTGCCGCCATGGCGCCGCCGCCGCCGGTACAGACCCGGCTCCCGGACTGGGACGGGCTGAAGCTCCGCGTGCGGAACCTCATCGCCTCGCACCGCGTCATGATCTTCAGCAAGAGCTACTGCCCCTACTGCAACAAGGTGAGGCGGCGGCGAGAGCCCGCTGGGCACGGTCCCCCGCGGGCCGTCCCCTCGAGGCAAGCACGGGCAGACCTTGGCCCGAGGGCGCCCGCTGGGCCCGGGCACGGCGCGGGGCTCAGGGAGGGCGGTGTGGGCATGCGGCGGCCCCTGCGGGCTTTGGAGCGCGTGGAAGTGGCGCTGTGTCCATCCCGCTCCAGCAGCACGTGCTGGAAAACCGCTTGCTGCTCGAAACCAGGCGAGGATCCCTGGCGTTCGTGGAAGTGCTTAGGGTTTGCCACGGTGGGAGGTGGATGTGTGGCGAGTTCTGCACAGTACGCTTGTTCCTCAGCTCTGCAGCTGCTCGAAGCTCACGGTGCTGGCTGTGTTCTTTCCTCGCTGGAAATTTGGGTACCACGTTGGTGTTCAGCTTGGACAAAGCTGCTCTGCACGGAAGGGATGAGTTAAGTTTTCTGCCCTTCCTAGATTTAAGGAAGGTTGTCTCTGTAGCAGGTGCATAAGTTCTAAATCCTGGTTGCAGCGTGTGTTTAAAAGAAAAGTAAAGTAGTCTTGGCTAATTGTAATGTTTAGAGAAAAATATCTTTTTAGCCCTAATTGTACACCAATGTACACCCATTTGCTATAGCTAGTAAGCCAAACTCATTAAAAACTCAAGGCCTTCATTAGAATTTTATTGTACCAGCACACTGGTCATAGTCCACACAGGACCTGAGGGTTTGTAGGCCTTGGTTACCTTGGATAATTACATAAAGTATGTTATGAAATTTTATTTCTATCTCACACTATGATATTTGATATGGCCATTGTGTAAGAACATAAGTGGAACTGTTGGATCAAGTTCTGGTGTTCCTCAATAGAACTGATAACCAGGAACATACTCAGAAACCTCACTCCCATTTCTGGGTTAGATTTAGTTCTGGGAAGGGAAGAGATATTAGGACCCCCTTGCAGGAAACTGAACTGAATATATCCTATCTCATTTGCAACTTAACTGAGGTTTTGGGAAAGGAAACTTCTGTGTTTGGGAAGATCAACCAAACGAGTGCCTTCTAAGAACTTTTTGGCAGACAGTAAATCAGAGTACATAGCTCAAATCCATCTTAACAGCTTACTCGAAGTTTCAGTAAATGAAGAGTTGGAGTCTTGCTCCTGTCTAGTTCAGCTGACAAAAATGTTATCTTCTGCTGAGGAAAAATAATTTCTTGAGGACTTCAGTTGCCCATTGAGAAATACCTAGTCATGCCTGTCAGTATTGCCCTGTGTGCTTTTAGTGCTTGTGATTGTAAATGCTGATGCTCATGGCACTCAGTTTCGTGAGTTTGAGATCACATGATGGCACTGTAACTTTTTAAATCTTGTGCCTTTTTCCTTCATCTGTTTGTGGTCTTGCAGAGGCTCTAGACTAAGACAAGAAGGGGAGCAAAAACTTGTTTGTAGTCCAGTAATTAAATTCCAGATTTTTCTTTCCTGCATTTTTTCATAGCTTCTCCATTAGGCAGATTGCTTGCTTCAGGGAAGCAATCAGATATGAGGAATATTAGGAATATTATCCTTACTGTCTTGCAAAGGGGAAGAATGAACACGGGGGTAGGAGGACCCTCTGTCATGGCCCTTTCTAGGAGGGGGATTTGAAAAATGCTGTGTGAATTTTTGTGAAGAAACAGGTCATAAATAGGGCTGGGGGAAGAAGAGGTGACTGCTCTGGTAGGCAGATTTCCTTGGCTTATTTTCCTGCTTGGAACAGAACAGAAAGGTAATATAACAAAGAAAATGTGGAGAAGAGGTGTAGATTGCCGACAGAGAATTAGAAGAAGACAGTTTAGGGAAGAAGGAATCCACACATGAGACATCAAGTGATAAAACAGAGGAGTATCTGTAACACTAAGGGTATTAAAAATCCCTCTTACTAAAGACTTAGAAATTAGTGAAAGGAATGGGAAAACAATGGCTAATGCAGGATTCTTGTTAGCTGATCAAGTCTATAGAATTAATGAAGTGGATATAATTTGGAAGTGTAGTTACAGCTTGGGTACTTAGACTGTAATCACATAGTTCTGAGTTCTTGGACACATATGAATAGTGTGCATTGTATATCTTTTACTGTGGATGGTTGTTAGCAGTGTGCTTTTGGTAGGATTAATAGAAAAAGATGTTTAGTGCTCATGGTCTGAAAGTACCTAATTTGGGTGTGGAAAGAATTCTCCATTTCAAGTGGAGGTAGCCATGCTAGAAGAAAATTAAAATGGCACTTTTCTTTAGAAACACAACTGCAAATAAATTCCCTAACAGAATTAGGTAGGTGATTGTATTCAGGTTAGCTAATAGCATGACTTGGCAATTGTGCTGTTCTTCTGCAAATGCAATTTGTTGTTCAACTGCTTTAACAGGGCAGTGGTGGAGAGGGGGTAGTGGTAGAATTACTTCCTTGTCATAATTTAACTTGGCTGTTTTTTCAATTGCTTAGCACCCAGAAAAGATAATAAGTAAGATAGAAATGCATAAAGAAAACATAGTTTTTGGGCATGAAAAAATGGCAAGGCTGAACACTGTGATATGTTGATACTTTAGGAGCAACAGCTGTGATTGCATCAAGTTACTGGTTATTTTAGTTATATTTTATGCAATTACAGATTACATTCTCTGTCCTCAGGGGGTTCTGGCCAATTCAGCTGTAGCTATTATGGAGTGTTAGCTGATACTAGAAAAAGCAGACCTAGGACATACCATTATTATTTTATGATGTGAAGCTGATCTCAAACCTGCTTAGCTTCCCTAGTGACAGAAGGCATCTCTGGGAAGCATTTCCTAAAGCTAGACTAATTTCTTGGTTTCAGAGGAATTATCTATTGTTTAATAATACTTGGAAGTGTTCTAGTCCATCACTTGTGAAAACTGAAAGGGTTTAGTAGGTAACTGAGGCCATTGCATTGGTGAAAAGGGAAGTAAATGCTTGTATCAGTGACCCTGCAACCTTGTATCCCACCCCAGACATCTGAAGAAATGATAGTTCTGTCTTTGGGCTGTAAGAAAATCTCCCACTGCACTGCTGAAGTTTCCAGTGGGGTGTGTGTGTGAGACACACGAATTTCTTTGCCTGAGTTGGTATTAGTTTTATTGGGTTCAAAGTTTTCAGTGGACTTTCTTTTTCATTAGTTGGTCTAATAACTCCTTTAATCTCATTTTAATTTTGGCTTTTACAATGCCAGATAGCAGTGAGTTTTCTGGTTGTGTTCCCTAGGGAGATTTACTTCCTTTTCATTTCAAAGTTGTTTTCTGGTAAATGCAGTTATTGCTGAGTGCTCCAGTGAGTATTTCCGAGAAATCATTTCCTGTTCAGCTTATCTTGATATTAGTCATGATTAGTGTGTTATCTTTCTACTCCTCCTAATCATTTCCTTCTCCAAACCAAAGTCATCTATTATCTCTTGCCTGCATTGAAGATTTTGTAACTGCTCATGTGCTTGCTATGATCCTTCCTTCAGTTTCATTAGCACAACACAAGTATGATTTGTTCATAAGTGCAAAGTGCAATAGTTACCTCTAATTAGAATGCTGGTGTTTGTCTGATTTTTTTTCTCTCTACTGAGTACCTTCAGTAGAGAATAAAGGTGGTCTAAATGCCTTAAATCTGTCCTTTCTTGAGTGTAATCTTTCTTGGTTTAGTAATGTCCTGTCCTCCTTCGTGCCAGCTGCTGTTGCAATGTTTTGGCAGAGTTTTTTAAAAAAGAAAACAAAACCCGGTGAACGCTTGCCTGTTACTCCACTGCTTTGCTGCAAACTAAACCAGCAGCCAAGCAGCTAATTTTCTAATTTGCCTCTGCATTCTTAACACTTCCTAGCAGCAATCACTTTAAGCTTTGCTCTTTGGATCTTGCATGGCATTTACCTTGGGGTTTGTAACAGCAGATGCAGAACAGGAGGTCTGGAGTGGTTCCACTGCTGTTTCCCTTTCATTCTGCCTGTAGCTGTAATCCAGGAGGCAAGCCTGAAGGTAATGGTGAGCTTAGGACAAAAAATTTCAAGGATCATCTAGATGGTTAGAGGACTGGAGGATCCCACACACTGAATGTGTCAAGGAAGAGCTCAGTTTGTTGACCCTTGGTAAGGCTGACTGGAAGTTTGTTGCTGCCTTCAGCTGACAAGTGGGAAGACAATCAGATTGTTATTCAAGTTGCAGAGGGAAAGGAGAAGAACCAGCAAACATGAGTTGCAATGGCAGACACTCCAAAGGGATTAAATGGAAGTTCTTTACTGTGAGGATGGTCAAACATTGAGCCAGCCCAGGGAAATTCTGGTGTCTTTGTCCTTGTGAATGTTCCAAGTGAGAGGACAGTGCTTGAGCAATGTCATCAACCTTCACATTTGGCTCTGCTTTGAGCAGGGAGTTCATGCAGGTGGCTGAAAAGGTCCCTTAGAACTTCCACTATTCTAAACCTGTAGAACCAATATAATCAGTTACAGAGGCAAAGCTTTTTTTTTTGAATGTTACAGTTGATATATGATGTACTAAGAAACTTAATTTGTTGTTGGTACAGAATACAAAATCTTCTTGTTTGCCTGCATAAAGCTGAAACTTAATCAGAAAACACTGGAATACTCAGTATTCAGTATAGTAACAGTGTGAGTCACAGCAATATTAAAAACATTCTATTCCCTGTGTGTTAGACATCTTTAAACTTACTAGATGGGCCTCAACATACACTTGATGAAGCTCTGTCAATAAATTTGAGGTTCCTCAGAAAGCTGATTTTAAAATGTTCAGGCTCCATGCTGGCAAGCGAGTCCATCCCCAGACATTCAGTGATTCTTGCTAGAGCTGTTTTCAAATGCCAGCTTCACAAAAAGTGTTGCTGTAGAAATCTTGTTTCTAAAAGGTTGCCTGGTTTGAATCAGGTAACGATACATTTTGTCCATCCAGAACTGAGGTTAAAAAAACACCCAGCTGAGTGCTGAGTACTCAGTATTTGGAACAGGTTCCTTCTTTCTGCAGCTTTTTTTTTTTTTAATTTCCTTGATAGCATTTTGTTTTGCTTATTATTCTTTTTTTTTTTCCTTAGTATTACCAAGGAATCTTGCTGCTGCTTTATCTCTCTTCTTTGGTTTTTTATATGGCAGTCAGTTCCATGGCTTTTGGTATGTCACAGGTGGAGAAGTCAGCAGCTAAGCAAACGGTATCTAGAAGCTTTTTCCTAAGGTAATGGGACTTGTTTTGGAAGGTTAAATGCTCTGGCTTTAAGTGAGGAACACACAAAACATAGAGCCAAGCTACCAAAGCTGTGTGGAGCCTGTGCCCCAGAGCACAGGAACTGAGCCTTAGAGGTGTCCTGTGTGTGTCTAGCAGGGAAGTTGTCCCCTGAGCTGAGAAACCTTTGCACTGCCATGGTGTCTGTTCCTCTTGCAGGTGAAGGAACTCTTCCGCTCCCTGCGAGTGGACTACTATGCTCTGGAGCTGGATGTAACTGGTGAGTAGCAGAAACAACAGTGGATCACATGCTGCTGCTTAATGTAACTAAAAATGAGTGATTCCTTGAGCTGCATGATTCCTTAAAGTGTCCTGAACTAACTGGGGGACCTGTGAAACAAGTAAAATACATTTTAATATATGCAGAGATAAAGGCAATTAGGCTTCAATGTGGTTTTTATACAGGATGTGTTTTTAATATAACTGAAGGCTTTGACTGTAAAAACCATCAGGTGATAGAGAATGTGAGATCTGATTTCTGTCCAAGGAGCTATGGCTTCTGGGGAATAAGTCTGTAATTTTTTTTCCTGTTCCTGGTTCTCTTGTGGCTTCAGGTGAATTGTTAATGTTTGACTTGGTATGTTGGTGACCTTCTTTGGGGAACGTGCTGAGTCATTGGAAGGAAGGGCAAATTCCAGTAACTTGGCTGCTGCCAAGTTTCAAGTTGTTTTTTTCCTTAAAGCCCAAGCTGCTTTAGTTTTAGGACATGTGCAGTGCCTTATGTGTATACAGACATAATGCACATAGCTTTTAATGTAGTTCTAGGAACAAATAGTTCCTTACATGGTTTTTAACTGAGCTCTTAAATGCACATTTGGTAAACTGTTGAGTGTCTATTCTTTTTTTCTGCACAAAACTTAAATTCCCAATGTTTTTTAAAAGTTCTAATGCCTTTTTGAAGTTTTTACTTTTGCCTGAGCAATGTTTGGGAGAAATGTACCTATTTATTCATCTTTTCTTAGTTACTTTTGCTTCTTATTCAAGTTGTCATACTGTGAATTAATTATAGCCCAAGATATGTAAAGTACAATGCACAGCCTTTTTTTTTTTCCTGGAATTACTTCTAATTAATAATATATTTCCCTTGCAGTTGCTGTGATTACTGATACTTAGTAGATATAATCTTGGAATAAAAAGATTTTAGTCAAAGTGATTACTGTAAATCCCCATTCCCACATTTACTGCTGAGAGATCTAAATTGAGCCTGTGTGTAGGTGCTGATGATTCAGATGGCAGGTGAGGTCAAGCAATGATAATTTTAAAACTAGAAAGTTTCTGACAGTGTGGTGGGTAGAAAAAGGAGGAAGGTAGCTTTAGGGTAAGTAGAAAAGCATGTTCATACTTCCCTTACCCATTGTCTCATAATACAAAGCTGCTGGGCAAAATTATGTTCCTGTGCACAGAACATACTCCAAAATAAGTTCTCATGAAAGAAAAGGTGTCTGTATGATCTTCTGTGATAGCTGGAAAAGAATTTTTGTGTAGTGAACACTGTAGTGTGTAGCAACAAATGTGACACTGTAAGAGATAAAAATCCTTGAAATAGAAGAGCTAAACTCTTACTACTTCAGCATTACTCCATGCTGTAGAATTGTGGCTTGAAATATCAATTTAATTTTTGTATTTAAGCCTGCTCCTTTGAGAAGTAGTTTCTGAAGACTTGCTTATGTCCAGGAAACCTGCAAATGGAATGTTTATAATAAAATTGTTGTCTTGGCAGGCCTGCAGTGTTCACAGTCCAAACCTTTAATACTCCAGGTTGTTCTAAAACCTCTGTTCCTGAAATCTGTTTATAATGTACATATTTCTTTTATTCTTAGAGGATGGAGCCAGTATTCAGCAAGTATTGGCAGAGCTGACCAACCAGAGGACAGTGCCTAATGTATTTGTGAATGGAACTCACATTGGTGGCTGTGATGCAACATACCAGGTAACCTGGCTTTAAAAATCAGCTGGAAGTGGACAAGAGTGAGTGAATTTGCTGTTTGGTTGTAGTTGAATGTTGTGTGACACAGCAGACTGGGTGACGTCAGTCAGAGGAGGCAGTGTTATCAGTTGTTTGCTCAGAAACATGTGTGCCAATTTGATTATTTATTTCTTTTTCTCTCCCAGGCTTATAAGGATGGATCACTGCAGAAACTCCTTGGGGATAACCAAACCATTACAGAACCCTATGAATATGATCTCATTATTATTGGTGGTGGCTCAGGTGGACTTGCATGTTCTAAGGTAGGATGTGAAAATGACATTAGAGAACAGGTGGTATGTAAAACTTATTCAAAAGTTACTCACTATTAATTATATTGGTATAAAACAGTCTGTATTTTTATGAGTATTACTGTTCAACTTGTTAATTAATGAACCAGTAGTGGTCTAGTAATGTGCTTACTTAGGGGATAAAGGGACCAGTTTGTAGCCAATGTTTATTCAGCTCTTGATCCTAATAATAGGTTTTAGTTTTCTGGCTGAGGGTGGAACCAAATGTTTTTTAACTATCTCTTCTGCATGTGTAATACACAGGTGCTTCCAAACAGTAATCTAGAAAACTTAAGGGCTGCTGTTGAAGCCTTTTGACAGTTTAGGATTCAGTATCACCATTCATCTAAAATTAAGTGCTTCCAGCAGTCCCCTTCAAGGAGCTGCTTCCCTCTTTAGTTCCCTTTTTAGGTGTTTTCTCAGAAAGGGAAGCTGAGATTGTGTAGCTCTTACACAATTAGCTGTTTTTCAGAGTGTCTCAGGACCTAAGGTCCAGATTCAGTTTTCCCTGCTACCCAAGGGATTTGGACACTGCTCCCATCTCTCAGAGGTCCTAAATTGTCAGTTTATGTCTTGGGCAGGGTGAGGCTCTTCTTGACAGCCTTGACACTTGCTGAACTATACAGCCAAACATGCAACCTTCATTAGAAAATACAAAGGAGGCAGGAGGGGCTGACAATGCAATTCTTCAGTTGGCCAATTGTGTATTTTTAGAATGTTCAGATCTTTCCTCACAGTACCTTCTGGGACATCAGTTGTAAACTTGGTGCTAATTGCCAAATTGTTCAGAGTAGCATTCACAAAATATAAGCCAGCCAGCTAAACCTTGTTTGAGGCAGGATTGCAGTTGATGTTCTTAAATAGATTTGAGGCACCTAGAGATTTGATTTAAGTGCTTGAAAAATCAAACAATGTGTACCTGGTAATTTCTTGAATAGAGGAATAGGCTTATTCAGGTTGGAATGGACATGAGAAGAATATCTAATGTAAGCTTCTTGCTCCAAGCAAGGTCAGCTGTGAAATCACACAGGACTGTGCAGGGACTCATTCATTTGGAATAAGCATGGGTGGAGATGGCACAGCCTTTTTGGGAAACCTGTTTGATTGTCCTCGTGGTGTGAAAGTTCCGTATATCCAGTCTGACTCTCTTGTTTCAACTTAATGCCATTGTCTTTTGTCCCTTTGCTACTTGGCCATTGTGAAGAGCCTGGCACAGTCATCTTAATGTACTTCTCATAGGCACTGGAAAGTTGCTCTGGTGTCCCCTCCAAATTCAGTTGTTCTGCAGGTTGAATGTGTCCAATTCCCTTGGCCTTCTCATAGGTGGTGTGCTCCAGCCCCTTGAACATCATGGTGGTGCTCCATTGAAATGTCTCCAGTGTGTCACCTTCTTTTCCATGCATGAACATGCCAAGTCAGTTCTGTTCTTCTGCATGGAAAGCAGAGCTAACAGTTTAAGTATTTCTTTAGGTGGGGTAGATGAGAATCACAGGCTGCTGAGCCCATCATGTACCTTTTTCAGATCATGGCTTTTGACAGGATAGGGTGATCTTGATGTAGCATTGAACATGCAAGGAGCCATTCAAAGTTTGGAAAAAAGTCAGTTCTTGAGGGATTTCAGTTTTTGTCTAGAGGTGGAGACAGAAGAGCCATGTATGTTAATGACTAACTGGTGAAGGTAGAAAAGAAACCTTCTATTAGTGCTAAATGTATCCTGGCTATGAATGAGTGGACAGACTTGCTTTGTTCAGTAGTGCTGACTGGTCTTCTCCATCTTTTATAGGAAGCTGCTGCCTTGGGAAAGAAAGTAATGGTATTAGATTATGTTGTTCCAACACCTCTTGGAACCTCATGGGGTAAGCTTTTTTAATCTTGTATTTGATGATGTTTGAGTACCAGTGATACATACTGAGATGTTACATATGGATTTATGTTCTTAGGAATTGAGGGTAAATTCCTGTAA